AGCAAGTTAATTGCGAGTCATATGAGAACAGTTTTGTTTTTTCCCAAGCTTCATGTCACTTTCTCGTGATTCCAGGTATCACTTTCCCACTCTTTCATTTGTTAATGCACAGTGAACCTGTTTCCCGTCGGCTGCCGCGCTGACCCAGTCCCAGAAAGCTGTCTGGCTGAGCTCTCAAAGTTTTTTTTTCTTTTTTAGTTGGCTGATATTTGCGGGACCCTCCGGTATATCATTCTAAAATATGTATACACGCGGTCGACTTATTCGCCTAGCAGTGTTTTTAACTTCAAAATAATTTAACTTAAGATTTTCATCAAGAAACAGGCTATAATTTAACACTAAAGCCCCCAAATTATATCTGGAGGCTCGGAGGTGGGCTCTTTTAACTTGGGACAGTTAGCAAGCACCTAAAACCACCCATATCACCCTAATCACATAGCAACGCTCTAACAACCGCTCTAGCAACTGCAAAGCAAATTTGTCGCAAATCCTTATGACTTTCTTACATTTTCATAAAATCTGCTCTCGCCCCATGAGGGCTAGGGATGGATTTTCGCTTTTTTTAAATAAAAATCATACATTTCCATATTAATCACATCATATCATACAAATTTGTGCACAACTGCAAACAGTTATGTTTTCTCACGAGACTGGGTTGAACAAGCACTCCGAACACCTTATTTTCAAGTTTCATTCGAAAACTCTCCGAAATCTCAAACCGGTTTTAGGACAGAAATCTCAAGTTATTCAGGAAACAGTCTAACGGGCACACACTCTCAGACCGCTCCATGCAGGAGATTATACTGGGATTTGGGTTACTGGTAAAGTCGATGGCTTTTCAGTGAAGTGCACTGCTAGATCTGTTATTTAACTTGCTTACAAAACACACACATTGTAGAACATGCTTCCTGTGAAAGATGTGGAAATATAGATTGCTTCATGCATCTGAACAACAACAAACAAACACCTACAATAGGAAATAAGACTCTAGAGTAAACACTTAAACAGTACAAAGGGTTGTTGCAATACACACTGTTACCGTAAAGTGTTGACTGACTCGCTATAGTAAAAATAAATGAGCAGAGTGAGAAAGGCAAGTGATCCTGAAGTTGTCCCTGAAGCTGGTGCACTCTGCACAGGGATAAGATGTCAAAACCAGGAATAGACCAGAGAGAACACAACACACACACACACACACACACACACACACACACACACACACTTTTTAATGTTCTGAGATAGTGAGTAGTGAATGGACCTTTTATTAAAGGAAGGAATCAGTTTCTTACTGAACTTTTGAGATATATTTTAGAGAAATTGTACATTGTGATACTACATTAACTTATAGTTTGGTGGATATTAATGTAAGCTGTATCCTTCAGGTGTGTTTTTATGGAACTACCCAGCCGTTACTGTAAGGCCGTTAAAATAGTCATTGATCATAAATTAATTTCACAAGTTAAAGTGTAGGGAGTCATTTCCGATAAACACTGTCCAGACTAGTGTCCTGATGTACTGTTTACTGTAAATGAAACTGCTCCTCTCACAGCACACGTACAAGCACAGAGCAATTCAAAAACAAACAGCAACTAAACCAGTACACCTCCCTGACGTAGGTAACTGTCACACATCTGTTGACGGCTGTATAAAGGCGAGACTCAAGTCTTAATCAAAGGGATAGTTCACCCACAATTTACTCACCCTCGTGTCATTCCAAACGTTTATGACTTTATTTCATCTGTGGAACACAAAAGACATTGTTTAAAGAACTGTTTTGTCCATACAATGAAAGTAAATGGGGTCCAAAACAAACCAAACCAATTATTACTTTCCAACTGAAGAAAGATCTGCATACAAGTTTGGGACACAATGTGGGTGAACTTATCCATTTAAATTAGGCCTTTTAAAGAACATCCAAAAGTGGGCAAACCTAAAAATAAACCACCGAATCTAAAATAGTATATCATAAAACTGCATAAACCCCCACAACTGTAAATATCTCCTCCTCTATGATTATTTCCCCACACACATACGCTAGGATGAGTTGAGAAATCGTGATATACAGAAAGCAGAAATCATGTAGAGTATGATTGGCACAGACTCTTTTATCTTCAGACTATGAATCCGTTCAGTCGGAGGATATCGAACATGTTTGAGATTTTGAGCTGATTAGAACACATTATTAATCTTCTAGCAACGAGGCGCACATTTCTATGTGAGTTTGTTGTGTTCCGAATGACCTGAAAGTCTGGTAGAGTGTGAATCTCAGTCGTTTAGTGTAATGTCCAGGTTTTTTTTTCTGTAACCATTTACAAAGGCGGCAAGTTTATGATGCCTATAGTTTTAAAAATCTGTTCAGAGCCTTAAAGGGTTAGTTCACGCAAAAATGAAAATTGGCTTGTGTTTTACTCACCGTTGAAGTATCCTAGGTGTATATGACTTTCTTTTTTCAGACGAATCCAGTCGGAGTTATATTAAAAATTGTCCTGGCTATTCCAAGCTCTATCATTGCAGTCAGCGGGTGTTGCAGTTAAACAGTCCACAAGTCGTCAAATAAAGTGCGCGCATCCATAATAAAATGTGCCTCACACGACTCCGGGGGGTGATTAAAGGCCTTCTGTAGTGAATCCATGCGTTTTTGTAAGAAAAATATCCATATTTCAAATGTAATAAACACTTTTCTCTCACTTCCGTTATCTATCATATACGGATCCGTTCCGGCGGAAGGCGTATGACGTATGTGTAGCGCGCGCACCTCTGAGGTATGCTAGTTTGTTTATAGGAGCAAAGGAAGCAAAGTTTCCTTACTTTAGCAAAGGAAAAACAGTCTCCTCTTGGCATTTATCGAAATCGTTAAGGAAAAGTTTTTTTTAAAGTTTTTTTTTACAGAAGAAAAAAAAGGTTTACTTTTTTATATATATATATATAATTTACATGACTTTTCCAGGTCTACAAATTACAAATTAAAATTGTATAATTAAAATTGGGCTACCTCATGTATCTAAGTTTTCCAAGAAGAAACTCTTCAAAGAAAAAAAAAGGGGTGTATATAAATTTTAAAAAAAAATTTTTTTTGTTGTTCTAGCTTATTTTAATGCTTGATTTTTCTCGTTTTAAATAATTTTAAGTCATCTTAGCATCTGCTGTTTGTAGAAGTTTGCTACATTTCAAGTCTTTAGGATTTTTCCAACATAATTTAACGGCAATTCGTAACAATTTTTTTGCTAATTCATATGAATTCGTATATTCATTTGTACACTCATTTGTATGTTTTCAAACAATCTGCTCTCACCCCGCTGAGGTAGGCTTAGTGGTGGAGCTTCTTACTTTTTTTTATATAAATCTGATATTTTCACATAAAAAAAAAATTTGTAAGCTCTAGTTGGATTTTTGAACTTTTTATTATGTGCCAGTCTAACTGCTCAGAAATAGTATATCTTGCTTCAACAAGCTTCACGATTTAAAGGTGACGTATCATGAAAATCTGACTTTTCCAGGTTTTAAGTGCTATAATCAGGTCCCCGGTGCATCTACCAACCATGGAAACGTGAAAAAGATTAACCCAGTCACTTTGTTTTGGTAAGCCTTTTTCTGCAAGCGTCTGAAAAAACGAGCGCGTCTGATTTTGCTCCCTTGGTGACGTTGCAAAGGGATCTCATTATAATATTACCGCCCCTTAATCTGTAAGTTTCCACCCACGGTGCCATGGCCAAAGTTTGAGCAAAACTCGCTAACTGTTCTGTCTTTGGCTGCACAGACGAGCACAGAACACTATTTACAGTCCCAGCCTGAGAGGAGACAAGAGAGCAGATTTATTGATTTATTTACTGTATATTGCTGCTGCCACACAGATCTAAAATAAACATGCAATTTATTTCCCAGCTGTTTACCTGTTCTGGGGACACCAGAGACTTATATTACATATTGTAAAAAGGGGCATAATTGGTCTCCTTTAAGGTATTCTTTATGTCCATAGCACAAATATGACGTGGGGTTTGTTTTAAATCCATAAATATGAACGATTAGCCTATCATTTGAACCCAACAAAGCCATCATCTCAAGCTGTCATCAATAGATTTAGCACTTTTACACAGCGTACCAGCTAAAATACCCAGCACTCAACTTCTGACCTGAACAGCTCAACCCCTTTCTGCCATTTTTCAGACACTCTGTAATAGTCATCTGATGAGGATCTGTTCTGTTTAAATGAATCCTCATGGAGTTCAGTCTATTCTTTCCTTAATTCCCCAGAATCTTCGTCTTGCGTAAGCGCGTCTTTCTCACCAAACCAGAACATCGCACCATCACTGACCCAAGTCTAACACAAATCCACACACCTTTCGCATGAACATACACATCATACATATTACATGCAGAATTATCTAGTAAAAGACTAAATATTATTTAGGTGATGCATTCATAGGCATATGATGAAATATCCTGCAGATATGCTTTTGAAAAACTGTTCACCTTTTGTTGAGTAACACACAAAACCCAATTTCTGCTCAGGTCAAGACACACATTACGCAAAAATATAATTCTTTAAGTCTATCAATAGTGTGTAGATCAGAGAGTAAGGGCTCATGGGAGTCGCTGTTATGTCACAATAGAAGAATGTAGGTTTCCTACTTTCTAGAGTCGCACAGGGACAAGTGTGTCTGATTATATAAATCATGAACCAGGACTCATTCATTACCATCTTCACCCCATTCAACATCAGCGTGTACATTTCTTTTCTTCAAAATCATGTAGTAACTACTGGAGAAGACCAGTTTTCAATACCAACAACCCTTTTCTCATCTTTCTTTGCTCAGCTAAACAAATAGTCCCACCGCAAACGCACGCCATTGGTTAAGCCATGTTTTGAAAGCACCACAGTGCTCAATTATCAGGAAGTAAACCCACAAATGACTTACTCAGAGTCTCTGCATGTTAAACTGAGATATGAAAAAGTTTGTTACCACACTTTACCTTTAAAACAGAACCAACCCTAAAAGTTATTCTCCCCAAAGCATTTTTATTTCTGGGTTCTTCATCACATCTTAATCACAAGGACAAAAGGATATTTCTAACTGTGACGTGAGAGAGAGACTAGAAGCAATTCACAAAAGCGCTAATGAAATCTTCATTACAAACCATATCCAGGAAAGGTGCACATAAGCTAAATGTTTTACAAGGGTGTATAAAATTACACATGCTATTTACAGAAAAACAAATTACTTCCTCCTGGCGTTTACTCTTTCCTGGTTGTGCAGGTCTGGATCTCCCACTCACACCTGATCTCCCAGGTCTAAAACACGGAACCTATCCAAGTTATAAAAACAGGCCTTCACCACGCGACCTCCAAAGTACCGCCCATTCAGATCCACCACAGCTGAGGAGGACAAAAACAACAGCACTGTTATGTTGAAATTTTAAAATACTACTAATAAATCTGAAAACATGTAATTAAATTGTAAATATAAAATTACATTGCTTCAGGACACACATAAAAAAAAAATACATGAAATGGTAATAAATCTAATATTTAATATATAAAATTGTACACAAAATAATACATAAAATGTCATTTAAAATGTAATACTTATCATAATACATAGTAAAATAATACAAAAATGTCATATAAAGTTGCAATTATGAGGCTATGAGCACAAATTTCACATTGTAAGGTGGAACAGAATTGCTATGAATAAATTTACCATGATTTATAACTTTTGGCCAGTTGATAGCGCTGTCCTAAAACATTACACGAGCACTTAGGACATGGCCTCAAAGTAAGATACAGATCTTTGTTTCAACAAAGGTTTTTAGGATATAACCTCATTTCCTATTCTGTGTCTTTGCAGTTAAATTTATTGTTTGGTTTTTCCCCATGTGATCTCACCAGAGTGTTGTTGCCACTTTAAAATACGAAAGTGGGTTTTTAATAATGATCTATGATCAAAAATATACCTATTCTAAAAAAAGACAAGGGCATGACAACACACAACTCATCTAAAAAGCCTGTCTAAACATATCACTAACAAAAAGCCTTCCTAACAAGCTGTCATGCAATGTATTTGCTTGCATTGTTGCATTCTTAAAGCTTCAGTCCAGCCCTGAAAAGTGAAACAGGTGTTCCTGTATGTGATGCCAGATTCAGAGTGTTTTCTCAGGCTTGCTTTGTTACAGGATGCCTGATTTATAGTATTTGTAGACCTAAAATGTGCTGCAGAATTGCAAAAATGATAAGTGTATTTGAACAGGTTTCTCCTCCATCTGTTTCTGGTTGGACAAGCGCCACTTGTTCTGCCACTTTCTATTTGTTATTGTATTTTAAGCAGTAATTCAATACTTTTATTTGGCAAAGGCATTTTAAATCGATCAGTTAAGAAATGTATAATGTTTCAAAAGATTTATATTTCAAATAAATGCTGTTCTTTTGATCTTTCTATTCATCAAAGAATCCTGAAAAAAGTATCATAGTTTCCACAAAAAGCAACAAATCAGCATATTAGATTCTAAACCATATTAAAATGGAAAACAGTTATAATAATATTTCACTATAATATAGTTTTACTGTGTTTTTGATTAAATAAATGCAACCTTGGTAACTTTAAAAAAAAACTTTTAAAGGGTTAGTTCACCCAAAAATTATGTCATTAATTACTCACCCTCCTGTTGTTTGAAACCCATAAGACCTTCTTTCATCTTCGGAACACAAATTAAGATATTTTTGATGAAATCTGAGGGCTCTCTGACCCTCCCATAGACAGCAAGGTAACTACCACGGTCAAGGTCCAGAAAAGTACCAAGATGATCGACAAAGTAGTCCGTGTGACATCAGTGGTTCAACTGTAAAGTTACGAAGCTACGAGAATAAGTTTTTGCGCAAAGAAAACAAAAATAATGACTTTATTCCACATTTTCGTCTCTACTGCGTCACTTTGGACGCGCGTTCACGACGGGCCGGATCTGGGTCAGCGCCGCCACACGCTCGCGTCATGATACTGTTATGTCATGATAATTCTCGTGGCTTCGTAACTTTACAGTTGAACCACTGATGTCACACGGACTACTTTGTCGATCATCTTGGTACTTTTCTGGACCTTGAACGTGGTAGTTACCTTGCTGTCTATGGGAGGGTCAGAGAGCCCTCAGATTTCATAAAAAATATCTTAAATTGTGTTCTGAAGATGAACGAAGGTCTTACGGGTTTGGAACAACACGAGGGTGAGTAATTAATGACAGAATTTTCATTTTTGGGTGAACTAACCATTTTTAAAAATCTTTCCAACCCCCCAAAATATTTGGAGACTAAAATTGTCTTTTCAGCTGCAGAATATGAAAAATATGATTTTAAAACAGCTTTCCCTGAACACAGCATCCTCCATTGGTTAGACAATGAGAAACACAGCATCCTCCATTGGTTAGACAATGAGAAGGTCTGTCCCAAACTAACACCAAACTATTGGTTCCACCAATTTTGCTGTTGTGACTTTCCAAATACTACTTGTCTTAATTTTGAACTGTATATCTATTGCTTTATAATAATAATAAACCCACAAATATCTCTTTTATTTTTCTGAAAATGTGTGCTTATGTTAACTTAAAAACAAATCACTATTTGTATCTATTACTATGACAGACAGCTTGGTTAAAGTGTTCAAATACTTTTTGGACCACTGTATCTGTAAATATGAATGCTTCTCCCAAATGGTGCAGTTTAGCTCTGTTGTCATTTAATAAAAAGTGTCTGAGTTTAACTTTATTTTTTATCCCAAAGGAAAGCAAAGTGTGTCATTTTCATTTTCAGTCCTATGTATGAACTGTTCCAGATACATGATGACGTTAATTCAATCTCAAGTAGATTTGCCTTGTCCAGGAATAATAATTAGGAAAATATATGTATATATTTCACAACGCAATATGATAAGAACTCACAAATCAAGTTATTAATCTAATATTTTGACCTTGTTGAGGATAAAAATTTTTGAAGGATGAGTTCATATCCAACTTGTTAATATTTCAGTCAGTGTTTAAAATTAAGTGAGTGAAAACTGGTTTGGTCTGCTATCCCTAGAGGAAGTGATGTAACCAGCCAGGTGATGTAACACCTAAGGGACGGCCCTCACACATTTACCTGCTTTATTAAGTGAGATCTGGGGCACTTGAAATAAAGACCACCTGTACACACACTCTTCAAGTTTATCCTTAAACCACTCACCTTTAATGGCTGATTCGACTCGTTCGAACTCCAGGAAAATGCGGACTGCCTCGTCGTCAGAAACAACGGCGATCTGAAAACACAAGCCAGACACACAGGTTTCATGTCAGCGACAGATATTAATGACATCTGCTGCTTACATACACGAGCAGGAAACTTTCAGTGGCATGTGATACACGTTTGACATAACGCTCACCTCAAAGATGACACACTTGATGACTTTGCCATACTTCTCACACTCTTCCTTAGTCTCAGCTTCCAGGTCTTCATCAACTTCTCCCCTTCCAACCATGTTCTACACACACAGACAGTTTTTATTTGCAATTGAATCTCAACAAATGATTTAGACTAAATTGTCCTGAATATCAGCTGCTTCTCATGTAACATCCTGTTAAAAGGAGCACAAATTAACTGGGACTAGGGGCAAAAAAAAGCACAGAAAGTGTCAAAAAAAAAAAAAACTAATACCGATACCGATTTTAACGAACAACTATTGGCCGATTCCGATACCGATATTGGTCAATTGCATAAAGCAGGGGTTAAAAACGGAAAGAAAAAAAAAATCGATCGGTTCACTCCGAGCAGAATTGGTATTTGAACGTTTCTGTTCCTGCGTTCCTCTGTATTATTACCGCTCCAAAACCGGTTTGAGTAGAGAAAATACTGGTTAATAACGTTATTTTTAAAACTTTTTCTTTGCCTATAATAATAATAATAATAATAATAAAGTACAGCATTTTCTTTACTCAAAAAGAAAAGAAAACACGAGGGTCTTGATCTGGTAGCCTATCTTGCGCTTAGTCATAGCCAATACAGCATCATCTTTTCTAGATTTTGACCAAATGTATTAATCAAAAGAAAATACTGTCAACGCTTTAAAGACATTAAAATAGGCCTATTTTTTTCAAGATATTTAAAAATGTTTTCAGCATGGATAAAAAAACGCTACTCCTATAAGCATTTTGAGAGGAAAAAAACAGCCTAAATTAGTAGGCTGTACGTCTCATTTTATTATTATTAAGATATTATTATTATTTTATTATTATCATTCAGAAATAATGTAGGCTAAAACACCAGTAAATAAAGCAAAATATTTACAAACATTACAAACACAATTAGGCTATTTCAGTTCCCTTCTCTCCACAACAAACCCTCTACAGTTGTAAGCCAAAACAAATTAATTTAAAAGCGAAACTGAAGCCTACCTCTCTTATTCTGCACGAATCCAAATGTTTCCATATTCACGACGTATCTGGATGCTAAAATATTATTTATTATGTAAACTATAGGCTTTGTTCTTCACTCGCATTTTCGACATAAAACATCATCCTTTACATAGGCTATAACAGCACAGTGAGGCGGTGGTAACGCTGAACAGCACAGACTGTACTACGGACTATTTCAATTGAGCAGTGTAACTTTTTATGTATCTTTAACTGTACTTTATTTTGATAATGAACAGGCTGCGATGTCAAGTTTGCAAAAATATGTTGTATGTGCGTGTGATTCGCTGACGCGATTCAAAACTGTAAAGCTTTTGCAAAATAAAGAAAACGGCTTTCCTTTCCGTGAACTTCGGAGCGCATTACAATGATCCGAACTCAGCACAATTTTTTTTTTCGTTTTGTTAATCTGTTAATGATTTAAGTGAAATATATTTCATGTATAGGCCTATATATTCCTTTTTATGTAGCCTATATAGTTTTATTCCATTTTCTCTGTTCACAGAAACGCTGCAGGTGCATGATGTGAACTTGTGTGAATCTGTGTTCTACACGATCCTGCCATTTTTGCTGGTTTCAAACACAAAAAGCTGCATATTACCTGCCATTCATTTTCACTTAAA